AATTAATGAATGAATTAATTAGTTAATTAATGAATGAATTAATTAATTTCCGTGGCCAGGGAAGGGCAGTGTGGAGGTGAAGCGCTGCGAGAGGAGCTCGGATCGGGTTTGTGCCTGCAGGGCGGGGTTCAGCCCCAGCGGGAGCCCCGTGGGCAGCGGTGGGTGAGAAACCCCCAAAATCCTCCCCAAAATCCTGAATATCCCAAAATCCTGCCCAAAATCCTTCCCTGAATATCCCAAAATCCTTCCCTGAATTCCCAAAATCCTCCGCAAAATCCTTTCCAAATTTCACCAAATCATTCCCAAAATCCTTCCCAAATCATTCCCGAAATCCTTCCCTGAATTCCCAAAATCCTTCCCTGAATTCCCCAAATCCTGAATTTCCCAAAATCCTTCACTGAATATCCCAAAATCCTTCCCAAAATCCTTCCCAAATTTCCCAAAATCCTCCCCAAAATCCTTCCCTGAATTCCCAAAATCCTTCCCTGAATTCCCAAAATCCTTCCCAAAATCCTCCCCAAAATCCTTCCCTGAACATCCCAAAATTCTTCCCTGAATTCGCCAAATCCTTCCCTGAATCCTTCCCAAAATCCTTCACTGAATATCCCAAAATTCTTCCCCAAATCATTCCCTGAATTTCCAAAATCCTTCCCTGAATTCCCGAAATCCTTTCCTTTCCTTCCCTCCCCTCCCTGATAAAATCCATAATTAATAATGGTTAATAAAATCCATCATTTTCCAGTGGATAAATCCCGGAATTTTTCCATTTTCCTCACTAAAATCCCCAAAATCCCGGGATAAAGCTGGAACCCTCCCCGCCCCATCCCAAACCCGGAGCGTTCGTTCCTTCCCAGATTCTCCCTCAAAAAATCTAAGTTTTGCAATTCTTGAAAATTTTTCCCGATTTTTTTTTGGGATTCCCTTAGGCCCGGCCTAAACCAGCTCAGTCCAAACCATCCTCGGGTGTCTCCGACCCCAAATCCCGATTTTTCACCCCATTTTTTTGTTTTCCCAGAATGTTCCCGATGTCCTGAAGGGACTTTTTCCCGAGGAGGGAACGAGCTCTGCCAGCCCTGGACCAAGTAGGAATYCCCGTTTAGGGGTTGATTTTCCTGGGAAAAACCCAAATCGTCCAAAAAAATGGGAATAAACCTGGATGAGGTGCCCGGAATCCCAAAATTTGGGATTTTTAGGAATTCCCATTCCCAATGTGCTCAGGGAAACTTTGGGGTTTAATTTTCCTGGGAAAAACCCAAATCAGGGTCCCAAAAATGGGAATGAATCCGGATGAGGAGCCCTGGATCCCAAAATTTGGGATTTTTAGGAATCCCCATTCCCAGTGTACTCAGGAATCTTTTAGGGATTAATTTCCATGGGAAAAACCCAAATCAGGGTCCCAAAAATGGGAATAAACCTGGATTAAGATCCTTGAATCCCCAAATTTGGGATTTTTAGGAATCCTCATTCCCAACGTGCTCCGGGCGCTTTTGAGGATTCATTTCCACAGGAATTGGATGGATTTGGGTTTGGATGGATTGGGATCGGGATTGATTTGGATGGATTTGGGATTTGGGTCGGGATTTGGGTCAATTTAGGTCGGTTTGGATGGATTTGGGATGGATTTGGGTTTGGATTTGTTGGGAATTGGGTTCATTTGGATCAACTGGGATTTGGGTTTAGATTTGGGTTTGGATTTGGATGGATTTGGGTTTGGATTTGGATTTGGATCGATTGGGATTTGGGTTTGGGTTTGAATTGATCGGGATTTGGGTTTGGATTTGGGTTTGGGTTTGGATTTATTGGGATTTGGGTTGATTTGGATCAATTGAGATTTGGGTTTGGATTTGGGTTGATTGGGATTTGGGTTTGGATCAATCAGGATTTGAGTTTGGATTTGGATGGATTTGGGTCGATTGGGATTTGAGTTTGGGTTTGGGTTTGGATCGATTGGGATTTGGGTTTGGATTTGGATTTGGGTCAATTTGGGTTGATTTGTATTGATTTGGATGGATTTAGGTTCAGATTTGGGTTTGGATTTGGGTTCAGATTTGGGTCGATTTGGGTTTGAATCGATCTGGGTTTGGGTTTGGGTTTGGATTTGGGTTGATTGGGATTTGGGTTTGGATCAATTGGGATTTGGGTTTGGATTTGGATGGATTTGGGTTTGGGTTTGGCTTGATTGGGATTTGGGTTTGGGTTGGTTTGGATGGATTTGTGTTTGGGTTTGGATGGATTTGGGTTCAGATTTGGGTCAATTTGGATCGATTTGGATTTGGATTTAGGTTTGAATCGATTGGGATTTGGGTTTGGGTTTGGATGGATTTGGGTTTGGGTTTGGGTTCAGGATTTGAGTTTGGCTCAGAGCAGGATTTGGGTTTAGATTTGGATTTGGGTTTGGGTTTGGGTTCGGGATTTGTGTCTGGCTCAGACCGGGATTTTCGGGATTTTCCCGTTCCAGCTGCAGCCGCCGCGGGCAGCGCACGCTCCGGGCGGGGTCGGGGACCGAGGACAGCGTTTGTGGCGACCCCGATGGCT